GCAGCGCTCTGTGCGCTGCCTCATTGCACTCTCTCTCTTTTTGTTTACCCTCTCTTTCTCATCCAGAAACGATAATTTCGGCACGCATTCACGCGCTTCGTGGCCCCATCGGGCAGGGAGCTTCGCCGAAGGGGGGGGCGATCACCAGATCAGTCGAATGACGTTTCTATGTTTGTTTTTTTGCATGTTTGGGACTCCTTCTGAACTTCCATGGGTGCCCTCGCGGCCACAGCTGGGCCCGCCTTGAAAAGCTGGTCAGAAAAAAAAAAAAAAAAAAAAAAAAAAAACCGGAGGAGAGGAGGTCGAAGGTCGGAGGTCGGGGGTTGTCGTCGTCATCGTCGTCGTCGCCGCCGCCGTCGTCGTCGTCGTCGTCGTCGTCGTGGGCCATTTTGGCTGGCCCCCTGGCCTCCGCGCCCGCCGCCGCCACCACCGTTGATGGGCCCATTGTCCCCTACCCTACCTCCTACCTGGAGGGGACAATGAGGGGGAGGAGGGGGAGGAGGGAGGAGGAGGAGGAGGAGGAGGAGGAGGAGGAGGAGGAGGAGGAGGAGGAGGAGGAGCTCCCCTCCCCCGCGTCCCCCCCCCTATCCACCTTGCCTGCGGCAACCCCCGCCGCCGTGCCTGTGCAACAGCGCGGCACGAAGAAGGCTGAGTGTAGAAACATCGCAATCCCGACGAGTGGTCTGAACTCGAACGGGTCGTGGACTCGACTTCGTCTTCGTCCGCGCGGTAGGAGGTCGAGTTCACGCCCCGCAACATTTCAGCGAGTAGTTTGCACTGGGGGGGTCGTGATCTCGCGCTCGGAAGCCCAGTTTTTTGCTTCTTAGTCCTAAGGGTGAGGGCCTCTTGGGGGCCTCTTTGGGGCCTCTTGGGGCTTCTTGGGCCGTCTTAGGTCTTGGGGGCTATCAGCCCGTCTGGCGCTTTCGGAGGCAATCTTGGGGGCCTGTTGGGGCAATTTTGGTGCCCTATTGGCGCGCTTTGGGGCCGTCTCGGGAGCCTCTCGGGCGATCTTAGGTCTTAGGGCCTAGGGTCTTCTTGGGCCGACTTGGGGCACTCTTGGGGGCCAGTTCGGATGTCTTGGAGCTATTTTGGACGCCTCTTGGGCCGTTTTGGGCGCTCGGAAGCCCGGGCGCACGAGAACCTCAAAATCTTTCAAAAGCAAATGAAGAATCAATGATTTTGGCATGGTCACGCTCTCTTGGAGGTCTCTTGGGGCCCTAGGGCCCTAGGGCCGCCCAGGGACGTCTCGGGATCTTCTCGAGCCGTCTTGAAGCCGTCTTGGTAGGCTCTTGAGCCCTCTTGGGCCATCTTGGGCCGTTTTGGTGTGGCCTCGTCTGTCTTGGATGCCCTCTTGGAGGCCATCTTGGCCGTCTGGAAGCCGAAAAGAGCGCCAGGGAGAATTTCAGGGGTGCGGTCTAAGAGGGACGCGCGCTGGTAGAGGGGGTCGGACCTAGAAACCATTAGAAAACCCTCCCTGAGGGACAACAGGGGCATTCTAACACGCCACGTCCGTGCAGGCACGGCGGCGGATTTATGGTAGCGCAGTGTAGGGCTAGGGACAACGGGCCCATCAACCGGCGCGGCCTCATGGCGTCCGCCGCCCCCGCCGCCCCCGCCGCCCCCGCCGGCCCCGCCGCCCCCGCCGGCGCCCCCGACGCGCTGGTCGCCCCGCCCTCGCGGGCTGCAACAATTCCACGCCGTCGTCGTCGTCGTCGTCGTTGTCGTCGTCGTCGACGTCGACGTCGACGTCGTCGTCGTCGTCGTCGTCGTCGTCGTCGGCGTCGGCGTCGGCGACGTCGACGTCGACGTCGACGTCGACGTCGTCGTCGTTGTCTTCGTCGTCGTCGTCATTGTCGTCGTCGCCGTCGCCGTCGCCGTCGCCGTCGACGTCGACGTCGACGTCGTCGTCGTCTTCGTCGGTGTCGTCGTCGTTGTCGTCGTCGTCGTCGTCGACGTCGCTGTCGCCCGCCCCCGCCTCCTAGAGAGCATAATGGGCCAGCCCAAGTAGGTTCGAAGGAGATGGGGTCGGTGACATCGCGTCGTCGTCGTCGTCGTCGTCGCCGTCGCCCGCCCCCACCTCCTAGGCCGCCCAAGTGGGTTCGAAGTAGATGGGGTCGGTGGGCCGCGGCGAATCGCCGATGCATCGGCGATGCACGGCGCCGGCGATGCATCGACGACATCGACGTGGAAAAAATGGTTCCACATCGAGCCGCGTCGCCCATGCATCGGCGATGTTGCGTTCAATGACCTCATCTACTTCGACCCCATTTAGGCGGCCTGGGGATCCTTTGACTCGAGGCCGACGAGTTCGCGAAGGCCATGGAGCAGGCCTTCGAAGCTGGGCAGCAGGCTGGTTTCATCGAGGCCGCTTGGTGGCTGCGATTGGGGGAGCTTCAGATCCGACCCCCGAGGGAACTCAGGGAACCCACAGTTCGATTGATGGGTTGATGGGTTCCTTGCGTTCACTGGGGGTTGGATCCGCAGCCCCCTCAATAGCAGGCCGCCGTCAAGGGCTACAAGAAGGGGAGGATCCACGCAACCGCCGAGGTCCTTCTCTCATCCTCCTCCTCCTCCTCTACCCGCTCCTCCTCCTCCTCCTCCTCCTCCCCCACCCACTTCTCCTCCTGCTCCGCCCGCTCCTCCTCCCCCCCCTCCTCGCCCTCCTCCGCCGCCTCCTCATGTGAACGAGAAGTGGCGCCTCCACATCAGCCGCCTGGGCGACATCCAGGCGGAGGCCGCCCGCTTCAAGCAGGACCGCCACCAGAAGACATCCTCATCCAAAGCTCGCGGGGTCGCGAGGGGATCTCGAGGGTTTGTGGTGCGATATGGACATATCCCCGCCCCTGACGGCGGGCATGTGTCCATGTCCACCCTTCCCGAAGGGCCCCGGTTGCGACCCCGCGAGCTTTGGATGTTGATGTCTCCTGATGGCCACAAGGGCGACATCGCTGACGCCTACGACGAGGCCCCATCCTTCTTCTCCACCAAGGGGCAACGGGGGGGGCTGGCTCAGGGAGGGCGAGGGGAACGTCGCCCCCCTCCCTATCCCTACCTGCCCGGCCTTACCTCTCCCCACCAGTCCCTATCTTATCTCTTCCTATCCCCGATCCATGCCGATCCTCCCCTATCCCCCCCGATCCCTCCGTATCCCTCTGTATCCGCCCCGATCCCTCCCGATCTGCTCCGATCCTTCCCCCTCTTGCGTTCATCCACCCTGCACAGGAACGCGCGTTTTTTTCAGTTGGGGGCCTATCGCCAATCTAATCATCTCCCCTATAAGCCAGTCCCCCCTATTGTTTCCAATCGCCCCCCCTTCTCGTCCAAGGTCTACGGCCCGGGCCGCGGCCAACACCTCGGCCTCGACCCACAGGCGCCGGGCGACGAGGAGCCCGCGGGAGGAGGAGGGGCGGACGGAGGCCACCTCTATTTCTCCTTTGTCGTTCATCTCTCATCTCCCCTCCCTCCTCCCTTCCCCGCCGCCCCCGCCCGACTCTTCTCTCTGGCGCTCTCCCCCTCCTCATCCTCATCCTAATCCTCCTCTTCCTCCTCCCTCGGCGCGGCGGGGTGGGGGATGGGCCGACGGAGATGACGACGATGACGATGATGATTGACGATGGCGATGGCGACGATGACGCTGATTCATTGATGGCGATGCTGATGATGATGATGATGATGATGATGAAGAAGAAGAAGAAGGATGAGGAGGAAGAGTAGGAATAGTGAGGGGAGCGAGGAGGCGCCGTTGTGCCGATGAAGCCAGTTGGAGGAGGAGGAGGAGGAGGAGGAGGAGGAGGAGGAAGATGAGGAGGAGCCATCTCAAATCAATCGGACGCATGGGCAGCATTGCCCACAAGGGCGCGAAGATAAGCACGCTTCGTCTGGGCGCGGGAGAGCCGCCTTTCTCCAGTGCGCGAAGGCGCGAAGGCAATTCTTGACGCTTCGCGTAACCCCACCAGACCATCCAGCAACGATGCCCTGACGAGTTCACTGATCAGGGAAGTGGGACAGCCCACAGGGCCTACAGAGGAAGGAAGGGCTGGGGAAGTCGCCACGGCCCGATGGGCGGGAGGATGGAGGAGGAGGAGGAGGAGGAGGAGGAGGAGGAGGGGTCGGAGGAGGAGGAGGAGGAAGAGTGGGAGGTGGAGGCGAAGGAGGAGGAAGAGGAGGAGGAAGAGAAGGAGGAGGAGAAGGAGGAAGAGGAGGAGGAGAGGAGGAGGAGGAGGAGGAGGATGAAGAGGAAGTGGAGGAAAACGAAGAGGATGAGGTGGAGGATGAGGGGGAGGGGGAGGAGGGAGGAGGGACGAAGAGGAATACGCGGGTGAGGAGGAGGAGGAGGAGGAGGAGGAGGAGGAGGAGGAGGAGAATAGGAGGAGAAGAGGAGGAGGAGAAGAGGAGGCCGAGGAGGAACATCTTGAACTTGAAGGCCTCTTGGGGCGTCTTGGGGTCCTCTTGGCGGTCCCGGAAGCCTCTTGGGCGCCTCGGGGAGCCTCTTGAAGCCTCTTGGGGGTCTCTTGGGAGCCTCTTGGAGGGATCTTAGGCGCCTCTTGTGGCCTCCTGGGCGCCTCTTGGGGCCCTCTTGGGGGCGCTCTTGGGAGCTTTAGGGGCGCTCTTGGGACTATCTTGGAGGACGTCGATCAAACAAGAGGGGAGCTTTAATTAGCGTCGCCCCTCTAGAGCTTCTAAAATCACCTCTTGGGGCCTTCTTGGGCCGCTCTTGGAGCGCTCTTGGGCGCTCTTGGGGCCGTCTTGGAGCCTTCTTGGGCCCCTCATGGGGCCCTCTCGGGCCCTGGGGCAATCTTGAGGCCTCGGATGGCCATCGGGAGCGAAAAGGCGAGAATGCACAAATCTGGCTCAAGGTTTGGCTCAAGCACCAGCAAGGCTCAAGGCTTGGCCAGGAAAGGGTGCTGAGCCAGGCAGCGCTGTTGAGTTTTCTAGTTAACCTTCCACTTTTACTTTTTTTTACTTGACTTCCCTACTCGCTTTCCGCTCCAGTCGCACTCATGTCGGAGACCCAGGGCCCAGAGGCCAAAAAGGCGATGACCGAGGCCATGCGCAAGGTACAGGAAGAGGAGGCCGCAGCGTTGGCTTCCCTGCCGTCTGGGACGAAGGCGATCCTCGATCTCTACACCAACCGAGTGCATGCCTCCATGGACGCGCTCGTGGAGCGGGTGACCCAGCAGAATGAACCACGCTTCACGGCTATAGAAGATTCGGCGAAGGCCTTGGAGTCCAGGGGGACCAAGCTCGAGAAGCAGTTCGCCGATTCTGCCTCGAGCGCCGGTGGTGGGTCATCTACTGGAGACTGGAAGCCTTCGAACATCGTCATAAAGATTTGTGAGTTCAAAGACAAGGACACCCACAAGGTCAACTTCACGGCTGTCCGCAACTGGGTGAACTCCATCAAGACGCACCTTGGGACTCAAGCTTCAGAGCTCGGTGGCCTCAAGGCGAGGACCACGGAGGACATCTACAAAGTAGAGATCCCCGTAAACCCGGCCCACGTGGAGAGCATCAAAGACGCCATGCGCGAGACGATGACCAGCCAGAACCTGGCCATCCGCACGACTGCGGGGGTGGAGCTGTGGCCGAAGATCAACGCCGAGCAGCACCCTATCAGGATGATGCGCTACCGCACGTACGGCTCCCTGGTGGACGCGATCCAGGCGCAGGCGAAGATGGACGGCTACGTGGTCAAGGAAGATTGGCAGAAGTCTCTGTCTGTCGAAGTGGGCAAGTTGGATGGGACCTCTCACAGGATCGCTGGAGTGGACGCGAACGCCTCGGTGGTCTGGGACACGGAGGTGCTACAGACCCTGGGGTGGAGCAGGGAACGCCTTGTCTTGCTGATGAGGAAGTAGGGGTGCCGAGTGGAGCCTAAACTCCAAGAGCTCACAGAATTGTGGGCTCTGACTGCGAATTTGAGGCGCAAAGCTGCTTCTACTAGGGCGGCCTTCTTCAAGAAGGTCCGGAAGAGCGTGCGGAAACAGGTCGTGATGCTGCTGCAAGAGGTGCCGAAGTGGGGGGACGGGGAGTTCCCCGGCTATGCGCTCCGCTCGCAGAAGGGGGAGGACTGCGCCATCGCAGTCCCGGGAAGCTGGCGAGACCTGATACATCGGCGCTTTTCCGACAAGTATTTATGCATGTTGCAGTGTGGTGAGTGCGGATACATTAGTATGCATTTAGTTCCTGGGAACAATCCCAGCGCGAACGATTATTGGGAGGACACGTTGGAGGGAGCGGAGGGGGAATGTGCCAAATGGGAACGCACAAACCCGCCAGTCAAACGATGGGTTATTGGTTTAGACGCTAATTTGACTCTACCTGGAAACATACCTGACCTGACGGGGTCCTGGGTCTCTGAAGCACACGCAGGGCACTCCAAGACCAAGATCGCTCGTCTATGTCGTTTCTTGTTGGCCAGGCGCACTGTGCTCGTAAACACTTTCGCTGAGGCCTGTGATCGAAACCTGCAAAGCAGCCCAGTGACATGGAGGAATACAAGGGGAAACGAATCTCAAATCGATTATCTGGGCCTTCCTCTCGATGGGGGGCACGCTACTTGGCACGTTCTGGATCACACGCACGTCTCTCCCAATACCCCGCAGGCATTGAAATCCGATCATGTTATGGTGGTGGGGGGCATCGGGTTTGAGCACAACGTGATGCGGTACCGCGCCCGTCCTTTTACGCAGAAGGGCTGGAAGCCTGACACTGAGGAGGATGCGAAGCTCTTTCAGAGATTGTGCGTCATGAAAAACACTATTGTTCCACATCCTGTTCTTCCTCTTCATCCCCCTCCTCGTCATCTGCACGACGTCGACGCCGACGCTGACGCCGCCGTTGCGACGCCGACGCCGCCGTTACGACACCGCCGCCGCCGTTACGACACCGACGCCGCCGCCGTTACGACGCCGCCGCTGCCGTTACGACGACCCGCCGCCGTGACGACACCGACGCCGCCGTTGCGACGCTTTCGGTCCTTTTTCCCAGGCGGGGAAATCACGGATTGGGAACATCACATTGGCCATGCGGCGAGTTCGATCTCCGCGACGAATGCGAGTACCAGACTCTGGTTGGGCCGACAACGTTCTGCCGAGGAGAAGGCTTTATTGTTGCGCATCCGATCCGACTCGATGCGTGGGGTTATCGACCGAACGATGCGGCGCAGGTACAATCAGATTAGCAAGAGACGCAGACGGCAACGGGGTGACCAGGATCTCGCCCTCGTGAACTCAGGGCAGGGGGGGATGTCCACCCGGCTCCCTCCTCGGATTCCCGCGCCTGTTGCCCACCAGCCCTCATTTGGAGACTTCTGCGCAGACCATTCCCGTTGGCCAGATTTGCTACGTCATTTTGGTGCTGACCGCTATTGCGATGCTGGCAATAGCGACGCAGCTCAGGATTTACGAACGATGCGTTTAGAGGCGATTGCAATCAATGAAGCTCAAGATAACCACATCAAACGTCGTTGTGGGCCCACTCGCTTCACCTTCATGGAATTCCTCGCCGCCCGGGGTGCCATGTCCACCGGCACAGCGCCTGCCAGGGACGGGGTCGTAGGCGAAATGCTTAAGATGTTGCCTTTCCTTGTCGTCGTAGAGTTGTTCATTAAGTTCACCAGCTATTTCGTCACGGGGAAGGGCCACGGGGAGTTCTGGAAGCTCATAGACCTCACTGGTTTGCCCAAGCAGCTTAGGCCCCAAGCTTTTTCCGACTGGAGGTACGTCGCCAAGTCCCCGAATATGCAGAAATGGTATTTAAAATCTGTGGGGTACGCGATTCGACGTTTCACGCAGCAAACCAGAGTCAGGATATTTGGTTTTACTCCAGGGGTTTCCACGTTGCACCTGGTGGACATCGTCAGGAGGGTTTTAGCCATCTCTAACAAGTTCAAGAAACACCCGTATGTTTTCGCGTTCCTGGACATTGAGTTTGCGTTCGACAATATGTTGCATCAGTTGGTCTCAGATGCATTGCTATCAATGAGCATTCCGGCGTCCCTGGTGGTGGCGATCTTGAGGGAGCTATCAGGTCTCGAGGGTGACATGTACATATCAGGAGTCGGGGCTAGTGGCAGGTTCCCCTATCTCAAAGGCGGGCGACAGGGGGGAGTCGAGACGCCCATGCTCTTCAATTGCCTTCTGACTTACATATTCGGCCCCGTTGTCACGCAGTGGGAAGCGACCGGCCTGGGGGCTTCCATCGACGACCTCTGCTTGAATTTGCTAGTATGGGCGGACAATTTGATACTGTGTGCAAGGACCACGGAGCAGCTCCAAACGATGATTTCCGACACGGCCAGCGCTCTGCACAGGAACGGCTTCCGCATCAAGATGCAGGAAAGTGTAGTGCTCTGCGGGATGGGAGTCGATCAGCAGCCGCCCGTCGTGGAAGTACCGACGCACGGACAGGGAGTTCTTCAGTTTCCAGTTGTGGACGAAGCCGTCCTACTCGGCACCGTGCTGAACAGGGCGGGGGATGCAGTGGCTTCCTGGGATCATCGGTTTCTGAAGGCGGAGGGGAACGTTGGACAAATCCATCGACGCCTTCATAATCCCAACGCCAGTTGGGAAGGGAAAGTCCGGGCATTCTCGAGAGGGCCCACCACCTCATTGCTCTGCGATTGCGCGTCTTGGGTACCCACGCAAGACCGTCTGCAGAAGGCGCGCGCCTGGGAAGACAACCATCTACGACGGGCTTTGAAATTGAAGTTTCTGCCAGGGGAGGGTCTGCAAGGCTACAACTACCGCACAGCGCGTCTTCTCGAAGGCCGCTTTGCATTCTGGGCAATACCTCAAGTCCACCATAAATGGCTCCAGCGTCTTCATCGATGGAGGTATGCGTCCATGCATTGGAGTTGGGGTTCCGACAAGTCTGGCACACCAGAATTCCCCATTCGCCAGTTGTCTCTATACCGTAGAGGCGACCACAGGGTTACGGCACAGGCGCGCGCTTCCTGGACCCCCAGTCTGCGCCGCGATGACGCAGGGGAGTGGCGGTATCGACGGCCAGGCCCCCCTGCGCCGCAGCCAGAGGACTTCTGGGACGCAGCCGTCCCTGATTGGGAAATCAAGGTGATGAATGGCGCCGGGGAGTGGAAGAACCAGGAATGGTCCTTCATCGATCGCATCTGCATCAAATGGCACCTGCCTGGTTGGAATAGAGATGTGTCCGTCCATCGTGACCAGGTTCGTAAACTTGCTGCGGCTCGTCAGGGCGATCCACGGGGGACCCGCGCTAAACGCAAGCAGTCGGAGGACGAGGGGGAGGCGGAGGAGGGGAAGGTGGAGGCAGGGCGACATTGCAAACGACGACGGCTTCTTCGCGACGACACGGAGCAGCGAGCAGGCGTTACGACGGGAGGGGCGGGCACCGGCGACTGGGACTTCGGGGATGACACTTTCTTCGTTTCTGAGGGCCGCTTGTTCTTTGATCTCATTCCTCCCCTCCTTTCCTCCGATTCGTCCTGGCCCGATCCTTCCTCCTCCACTCATTTTTTCAGATTTGTTGTCGATAACGAAGCTTTAGCGCAAGCCCTCAGTGGCTCGTCGTTCGTCCAATGGGAACGGCTCTCACAACTTTCACCTCTAGCTGATTGTTTGCTCCAGAGCGTGACCGATGGGTGGAGACCTCCGGATCCGATCGAAGCTCCCGTTTTGTGGCGGCCCCGCCACCAGAATCAAGAGGCTGATCGCTTGTGTAATGCAGTTTTAGATGCAGGCCGAGGTTTCTTATGCCTCCACCCTCGCATTGATGAGTTGTTAGCTGCGCCTCACAATTGTTTGGCCCACTCGGACGGGGGGTGGCGCGGGTGCGGGCGGAGCGCGGGCGGTTTCACTCTCCGGGTCTCCCAGGGGAGCGGCGACTGGGAGGTCGCGGCTTTCGGGGGGGCGTGGGAACCCCAGGCAACAGATTCATTTTCCGCCGAAGTGTCGGGGCTTCGGCTAGCACTTGCTGTGTTCGCCGCTCTGCAGGGGACAGGCGATCTCTCTCAGCTCGGAATCCCAATTTTCAGACGTAATGTGTGCTACAGGTATCTGCATTGAGTGAGGCTCCATCGGCAGGGACTGAAGAGATGTGCGGGGAGGCGGCCTTTGCGGTCAAGCCGAGTCCAAATAATTGTTTTTCCTTAGGTTGTTGAAAGATTCTGGCCTCTTGGAGGCCTCCTTGGGAAGCTATTTGGCCTTTTGGAGCCGTCTTGGGGCGCTCTTGGGGCCTCTTGGAGCATCTTCGGAGCCATATTGAGGCATCTTAGGTCTTAGGGGTATCTTGAGCCATCTTGGAGCTCATCTTGGGCTCTCCGAGGCGCTCTTGGAGCCGTCTTGAGCGCCAAAGTACCCTCTGACACCTCGCCGCGCCCCCCGCCCAGGTCCAGGGGAGGGGGCAGGGGGGGGGGTAAACCCCTTCCCGAAGGGGAAGAAAGGGGGTTGGAAGAGGAAACTCCTTAAGCCTTAAGCTAAACCACCTACGCCCAGAGGGCTGGTGGGATTTTGCGTAGACGTCGTCGTCGCTCGTCGGTCCGTACTTATTTTGGCTCCATCGGCCAGCTCGGGCGACGCCCAGCCAGGGCGACGCCCAGCCCGCGCGACGCCCAGCCCGGGTGACGCCCAACCCGATGGCGGACCGGCGGTGGCGGCCACCCCGCACGCCGGCGGAGTTCAAGCGGCTGGGCCGCTTCCCGCACGCCCCAATGCTGGGAGGAGGAAACCAGCACAGATCCAGCTCTCTCGGCCCTCCTTCTCCCGCCTCCTTCCTCGCCTCCACTCGAGGAGCGGGGAGGGGGGCGGCCGAGAGAGATGCATCTGTGTTGTTTTCCTCCTCGCAGATCTACTGGGAGCCCGGCCCGATGGCGCCCTGCGTCCGGCCGCCCACGCCCAGCTCCGACGCCGAGCCCGACGCTGAGCCCGCGTCCAGCTCCGACGCCCAGCCCGCCAGGCGGAAGCAGCTGAAGCGGAAGAAGCACGACGCCGAGGGCGACGACAAGCCCGACGCCGTGGGTGACGCCCAGCTCAGCGCCAAGCGCGACGCCAAGCCCGACGCCGACGGGGGCGCCCAGCTCAGCGCCAAGCCCGACGCCAAGCCCGACGCCGAGGGTGACGCCCAGACCAGCGCCAAGCCCGACGCCAAGCCCGACGCCGAGCCCGACGCCGAGCTCAGCCTGGACGAGCAGCTGGCGCGCTTGAAGGCCGAGCTGGACCAGGGCGCCGAGGAGGCGGAGAGGGAGGCGGAGAGGGGGGCGGGCTCGATTGGATGGTTCTAAGTTCTAAGTGGCGGCGGAGATCGCGAACGGTCACCCGGCCATGATGGCGACCATCGGCATGTTCTTCGCCTGGCCATGATGGCCATCATCGGAATGCTCTTCCAAGGCGTCGTGGCGATCATCGGAGTGTTTCCAAGATGGTTTGACTGATTCCTTGCTTGCGAGCTGGCAAGTTGATTAAAATATCCCTTGGTGCTGTCCTCCTCGATCATTGTTTATTTTCATTGATGCTCAGTCCAGGGGGGAGGCGATGGTGGGGCAGGAGGAGGAGGCGGAGGAGGAGGAAGAGGCAACAGCAGCGGGGGGGGAGCATTCGAGTGCCTCCCTCAACCTCCTCTTCCCGCCCTTTCTGCCCTTTCCTTCCCTCGACCTCCCCTCGACCCCCCCTCGACCTCCCCTCGACCTCGCCTCGACCTCGCCTCGACATCGCCTCGACCTCTCCTTTCCCGCCCTTCCTCCTCTTCCCGCCCTTGCTGCCCTTTCCGCCTATCCCCCCTTCCCTCCCTTCCTCCCCTCTTACCCTTCATGAAAACCTTGGACCGAATCTCCCCTCCCGTTCCCGCCCTACTTCCCCTCGACCTCCCCTTCCCGCCAATTCCCCCCCCCTTCCCGCCCTTCCTCCACCCCCGACCCCCCCTCCCCCTCCGCGCCGAGCTCAGGAGCCGCCGTCGTCGCTGGGGGCGCTGCGCGGCCGCCCGCCGACGGAGGCGCACGAGGTCGAGGGGGAGGGAGGTGGCATGCGGGAGAAGGAGGAGTAGGACGAGGACGAAAAGGAGGACGACGAGAAGATGGGAGGAGGGATGGGGGGAGGAGGGAGGATGGAGGAGGGATGAAGGAGGAGGGAGGAGGGACGAGGAGGATGAGGAGGAGGAGGAGGAGGAGGAGGAGGAGGAGGAGGAGGAGGAGGAGGAGGAGGAGGAGGAGGGGGAGGGGGGAGGGAGGAGGGAGGAGGGATCTCGTCGAGGTCGCGCAGGACCCGACCTCAATCCGATTCCGCGCCGATTCAGGCGCGACCCGATCCGTCCCTGATCTGATTCGATTTCGCCATAACCCCTCCCGCCGACCCTGCGGCCAGGGCCCACCACTCCCCTCCTCGTTGCGAACATGCGCTTGGCAACCGCTGCTTCGGACCAGGTGACCTCGGACATCTGACTTGGGGCGGCGCCGGGTCAAGCGCGGCCGGCGCCTCGCTCAACCCAGCGCCGCCGCAAGTCAGACATCCTGGTCCGAAGCGGCGGTT